AAATACTATAAATCAAACTAAAACAAATAAATAGAAAACCTTAAGAGATAAAATTGGGGGGGAAACCAAATAACAGGGGCAGAAACAATAGCAAAAAATTCTTATTATTAAAGAAGACAATAGAAAATTATATTTAAACTAGAAAAACAGAGAAAGAAAAGAAAAATATAGGGGAAAAATGTTGAAATAAAAAAAGGAAAACCCCCAAAGCAGATATATATCTTGATGATTATTGTCTGTGCAACAGGTGATCTTCTGGGGTATGAGATGCTAATCAGAATGTTGATACAGCTGTATGAGATGGAGACCAGAGGCCTCTGCCGACTTCTTTGCCCTCAAACCCCAAAGGGTTAAGATCCTGACTCTCTCCTCAACCTGCTTGAATGACACTTTAGACTGTAAACCTTGGCTAAGCAGAAGATTTCCTAAGAAAGCACTTGTCACTGGGATCTCTCCTGAAGTAGCTGCTCACTTATCTGGTGCACCAAAACTGGCCTCACACTATGTCCCTGAGGGCCAGGGCTGCAAGGCAGCCCTTCCACTGCCAAACACTGAAAACTCTGGTCTTCCCCGGCATCTCAGTCCCAGCTTTTGGTGCTGCTCACAGTCAGTAGATCACTTGCCCAAGGTCTCCCAGACCCACCCTCATTCTGCCACACTAAAGACAAAGCCTACAGGGGTAGTCCTCCCACAATGGCTGTGCACACAGCCCACAGCCAAACAATGTTAGCTTCATTCTGGCCCAGCAGCTCAGTCCCAGATGTTGGACAATGCTTAAAGTCACCTGCACTCTTGCCCAAGTTCTCCCAAGGTAATTCAACTGAGTGCCCAAGTCCAAAAAACAAAACAACCCACAGGGAAAGCCTTCCCTGTCTGCAATTTCATTGCTGTTGTAGGTACAGCTGTGGCAGCCACAGCCTCAGACCAAACGAACGCAATCACTTGTCACTTCTCCACTTCTTTTGTCCTCTTCTTGGGGTCCAAAAGTCTCTTGCTGTCTCCTTGAGTCCCCAAAGGGATGTTTCTGGGCAAAACCCACAAGCCAGAGATGCCTGGAGTCTTCTCTCCCCAATCTCACTGCTCCCAATTGTAAAGAAGCTGTTACTTAGCTGCCATCTTGCTCCCTCCCCGATACTAGTTTTTTTTACAAAAGAGCCCTAAGGAGCTTGTTGTTTACCCCTTCTACAATGTGAGGATGCAGCCAGAAGGTACTATCTTTGAAATAGAGAGCAAAGTCTCACCAGATACCGAATATGCTGGCACTTTGATCTTGGGATGTCCCAACCTCCAGAAGTGTGAGCAATACATTTCTGTTGTTTAAAACTTACACAGTCTAAGGTTTCACAACCTCCAGAAGTGTGAGCAATAAATTTCTGTTGTTTACAACTTACATAGTCTAAGGTATCTTGTTATAGAAGATCAATGGACTAAGATAATTCTCTTATTTTTAATCTCAAAGGTAAAACTTCTGGTATTTCATTATAAAGTATGATATTTGCTGTAATTTATCAGATTAAGAAAATTTTCTAGGCCAGGCACAGTGGCTCACGCCTGTAATCCCAGCATTTGGGTGGCCGAGGTGGGTAGATTTCCTGAGCTCACAGGTTTAAGACCAGCTTGAGCTAGAGCAAGACTTCATCTCTAAAAATAGATAAGCATTGTGGTGGGCACCTATAGACCCCACTCCTTAGGAGGCTGAAGCAAAAGAATTGCTTAAGTCCAGGAGTTTGAGGCTGCTGTGAGTTGTGATGCAACAGCATTCTACTGGGAGCAAGAAAGTGAGACTCTATCTCAAAAAAAAATTTTTTTCTTCTTATTATAGTTATTAAATAGTGTCTTTAAAAATCATAAATCAATTCTAAATTTTATCAAATGCTCTTGCTTTATGCATTCCTGGCAGCTATGATTTTTCTACTTTATCCTGTTAATGTGGTAAATTATATTGCTTCACTTAAATGTTACACAAAGCTTGCATTCCTAGTGTAGACCAAATTTGGTTATGTTATCCTTTTTAGTTGCTGGAGTTCTTTATATGTTGGTTGGGACTTTTTCATCTATGTTATAAGTGATATAGAATTATAATTTTCTCTTTTTCTAATAGTCTTTTCCAGTTTTTGCATCAAGTTAAATTGACCTCATAATGAGATGTGCATGATTTTATCCTTCATAATTCTCAGGAAAATTTATGTAATATTGCATGATTTATTTCTTTAAAACTTGGTGAATATACTCCAGTAGCCACATCAACTGGGATTTTATTTTTTTTTTGGCAAGTAAATCTCTCTAGGACAGCGGTTCTCAACCTGTGGGCTGCGACCCCTTTGTAACAATGAAAATACATCCTGCATATCAGATATTTTCATTTTGATTCATAGCAGTAGCAAAATTACAGTTATGAAGTAGTAACGAAAATAATTTTATGGTTGGGGGTCACCACAACATGAGGTACTGTATTAAAGGTTTGCATCATTAGGAAGGATGAGAACCACTGCTCCGGGAGTTGGGTGTCCAAGATGTTTTCCTTATACAAGTATAGGTTCTTCAGAGACTCTCTGGTGAGTGTCACCTTCACAGTTACCTTACATGGGAAATGTGTTTTCTAACTGATCTATTCCAAAATAGAACACATGATACATCTTCATAGCCTCTTAATTCTTATGCCCTTTGCCTTTGAAGGTAAATCTCTTTAAGGTCAATTTCTTTTAAGATGAAAATGGCTTGAGCCCAGCCATCTTCTATAATAATTTCTTGGGCTAGAGCTTAATCATATATTCCTACCATATTAAATAATAGAAGTTTTCCACAGTTGCTTCCTTCTTCTTTTTTTAATTATAGTTTTTTTTATTAAATGATAGCTGTGTACATTAATGCAATCATGGGGTACAGCAGTGTGGTGTTTTCATATACAATTTGAAATATTTTCATCAAACTGGTTCAGTCACTTCCTTCTTCCATCACCTACTAAGGGCCCCTTTCTTACCATAGAATTTTCTAGTCAAGAAGCAAGCATTCGACATCTACGTTCACATATATCCTATCGCTTTCATTCAGAAAACTGCAGGAACACAAATATAAGACTTTTTTTTTCATGTCACTTTACTGGCTTTAAGGAGTTCTTTTGGGGTTCACCAGACTTAGCTTAGGAAGTACAGAAATATATGGGAGGCGCCTGTGGCTCAGTGGGTAGGGTGCTGGCCCCATGTACAGGGTGGTGGGTTCAAACCCAGCCCTGGCCAAACTGCAACAAAAATATAGCCAGGCGTTGTGGCAGGTACCTGTAGTTCCAGCTACTCAGGAGGCTGAGGCAAGAGAATGACCTAAGCTCAGGAGTTGGAGATTGCTGTGCGCTGTGTGACTGCATAGCACTCTACCCACTCTATCGAGGGCAATAAAGTGGGACTCTGTCTCACTTTTCTTTCTTTAAAAAAGAAAGACATACAGCAAAATACACAAGGAAATGTATTTTTTGATAAAAGTTGATGCTAAATTAGTAGAGAAAATATGTATTCAGGAAGTGATATTGGTATAATTCTTAGTCATCAGGGAAAAATATAGTTTAATCCACATTTCATATTTTATGGTTAAATTCTAGATAGATTAAATATGTAAATATACAAAATAAATATATTAGAGGAACCATAATCATTGTTTATTATGTTTTATCATCTTAATGCCTTTCTAAGTATAACACAAAATCCAAGCCATAAAAGAAAAATTAAAAAATAGAATTATTTTAAACGTTATGCATGGGAAAGAGGAAACTATCCTAAATAAAATCATAAAGCAAACAAAAGTAGGGAAAATATTTGCAAATTATATCATAGAGAAAGTTAACTTCCTAATATATAAACAGATTTTACAGATCTCTAAGATAAAGGCCAACTCTGCAGACAAATGGACAAAGAATAGAAACAGAAATATCATAATAAAGAAAAATAATTAAATTTCACTTAAGATACAAGAAAATCATACTGAAGTTTGGTTATATGTTGTTAGAAAGGCCATAAGAAACCAGGTATTGCTGGTAGGAGGATATAGTTTGACACAACCACTGTGGAAGGCTACAGCATATGAATACGGATTAATTGGAATGAAATTAGACTTTAAGGGGAATAAAATCCAACTTTTTTTTTTATTGAATGGTAACTATGTACATTAATGCACTTCTGGGGTTTTCACATGCAATCCGAAATACTTCCATCAAACTGGTTAACATAGCCTTCATGTCATTTTCTCAGTTATTGTCTAAAATCCAACTTTCAAAGATCTTATATCTGATTAAACTATGTTGTTTTGAGCCTCCTATAGTCTCTTAGCCTAAACTTTCACAGAAAATACTTTCCAGAGGAAGATAAAAATTACTTAGAACCTCAAATTATAAGGTTTATTATTCAATTAAAAAACATAAGCAACTAAAAAAATCAACTGGAATACATATATACAATATATTGTGACTCTCAAAGTGAAAAAAGTAATAGTCTAAATACCAAATATGGAATCAAAAACATATGTAGAGACTACATTCAGTATGTTCAAGGAAATAAAGATAGGAATTATAATATGGGAAGAGAACAGGAAACTTTAGAAAAATCAAATAGCAGGTCTAGAACTGAAAAATGACTGAAACTGAACTCTGTATCTATTACCAGATTAGATACCGTTGAAGAGGGAATTAATGAACTCTAAAAAGCAAGTCAAAAGAAAGTATCCAAAATGCTGTATACAGAGAAAAAAGACAGAAAATATAAAAACGCACAAATAAAAAGTACAAGTGTAATAACATTATAACAATCTCTTAATAATATCAAAAGTGAAAACATAAGTTTGAGTTCAAAAAAGAACAAATAACCACACTTTAAGGTTTTTTTTGTTTGTTTTGTTTTTTTTTCACACTTTAAGTTTAAATTATAATTTTTCTTTATACCATGTTCAATCTAATAAAAATCCAGATACAAATGGATACAAATGATACAAATCAGAAGGAAAGTTTAATTACTTACATTCCATATGCTGAGCTTACAGCAAGACTAGTAATTTGTTGGGGAGGTTCACCATCTACCCACACCAACTGAACAACAAGTTCTGCTTGATATCCTGGAGGCATCCGCACTGGTCGTGTCTTAACACTAGAAGAAAGAGAAGCAGGTTCACACTTAAGAATTTATACAGGTTTGTCCTACAGAAAAATACATTACCAGGCATTGGGGCAGCACTCCGGTGGACAATGTTCTAGCTTCCCAAAATATACTGAACCACTTATGATTAGTTGGTTATTTAAGTAGGTTTTCAGTTATTAAAATCTACAAATTTAACTGGCCTTCATCGTTTGTTTTTTGAGAAAAGTATTTTAAATTATTTTTCTTATGTAATATTTATTACACATAATAAGTTATAAACCATAACAACAGAAAGACTAACCATTAACTTCCTGCCCATAGTTTAACTTATCCAACACCTGACTTCCGACTCTTCCTTTAAACTGCTCTACCTGTAGCCTTCTCTGTTCCAATTGATAGCAACTCTTCATCTTCCAGTTATTCAGTTATAAAATCCTTATAAGTTTTCCTCTCTCATCCTTCTCTCATACTTTCTCACCAGCTAATTATCAAATACTACTCATGCTATCTAAAATATATCCAGAACCTGACTACTTTTACTCCTCTACTCTGCCACCCTAGTAACAGCTGCCAAATAAAAATATAGGACTCTCATTTATATTTAAATTTCAAACAAAGGATTAAAAGATTTCCTTCTTTTTTTTTTTTTTTAGTACACAGTGAAACATTTGGGATATACTGATACAAAAAAGGGTTTGATGTTTATCTGACATTCAAATTTAGCTGGGTATCCTATATTTTATTTGCTACATCTAGTAGCCCTTAAATTCATCTCTAATTAGTTTACTCCAATAGCTTCCTAACTGGTCTCTCAGCTTCTACTCTACCTTCGATCCCCAAATCATTTTCAACAGATCCACTATAGTAGTCTACTTAAAATTTAAATCTGATCAGGTCACTTTTTGATGTAAAACTTATGATGACTCCCCATTTCTTATTTGGAATAAAAAGACAAGATCCCTACAATGCCTACATTCGGCTGTCTATGACCTAGCTGACTTCACATCCTATTACCTCACTCACTCTAGCTATGCTGATTTTGTTACTGTCCCTCAAACATGCCACACACTTTAAGTTCTTTGCTATAGCTATTCCTTCTGCTTGGAACACTGTTCTACCAGATATTCTTTGGCTAACTCCTACACCTACTTCAAGTATTTGTTCTCGAGTGAGGCCCATGATGACTACCCATTTTTCACAATAGGAAGCAAAACAGCAAAAAAATAAAAATTCAAATAATTGAACAACCATGTGAATATTGATAAGAATTGTAATATTGCTAAAACGAAAATGTTTACTCACTACTGTACATGGTAGTCTACACTCAGCAAAGGAAAAGTGACCTGGATGAATGCCTACATATAATTTAGGAAAGTATGAATAGTATGCACCTCAACAATTGTTCATAATATAATGTAATTCACAAAATAATATTCTTAAGTTGGGTTTACCACTTGGTCTTTAGGTGGTAACCACACAATATAGGATTATACTTATTTTTTTCCCCTTTGATTCTCTTAATTACCTTTAAGATTGCCTTTACTACTTTTTAAATCAACATTAAATGTGTCAATGTAAGTATACTTCAACAATTTTTACTGCTTATTTTATTTTTTCCAGTACCAGATCATGGCTGATCTTATCACTTTTTCTCTCTTATCCCTAACTTTAAATTCTTACCTTAATTTTTAAAAAGTTTAATAGAAAAATATTTAAGTCATTAAAAGATTCACACTTTAATAATGGGGCTTCTTAGTTAATAAATCAATCTACAAAATACTTTCTTGAGCTTTGTTGAAAACTTTCTTTTCCCTTTTAAAATAGAAATCAATTAAGTGAAGCAAAGATAACACAGAAAAAATAAAGTATGTAAAATTATAACATTATGAAAGTTTTCCACTGGCTAAAATTTTACTGGTGATGTTTCCTCTTTGTAAATTTTCCTCTTAGGAATACATGCACATATTTCCTTTTTTCTCTTGTATTTTACATGAAAATTTTTGGAAGGAAAATCAATGATCACAAAACTAGAGAAGCTGCTAATTGTATGAATTTGTTCCTGATATCTTATCTCTAAATTTTCCATAAGAGTTTTCGTAAGATAACTAGCTTAACCCTCCTCTTGGGTAAGAAAATGAGCTCTCTAAAGTTATTTGATTAGCGGATGTAGATATTTTCATATGTGGCTCTGAGAAATTCCCCTTTTAAGTTTAATTCACCAACCAGTTAACATTAAAAACATTTAATTTGATGGTATAGAAGCAGTAAGTAATAATTTATTAACTATCACCAAAAAAACCTAATAACAATTAAGGTAAATATTACTATGGGCTTTTATTAACTTTAGGTTTTATTTGATATGATGCTAAATTTTGTTTAGACCTACCAAGAGAACATAGTTTATTAAAAATAGGATTAGTTATAAAAAAGAAAGAAATATTATGAAATACACTAGCAATTAGTAGAAAAATTCTTTTTTCTGATATAAGCTGCTTGTAGTAGATAGTAAACTTTGTTTTCTTTTTTTTATTCCAAGAAGGTAGCAGAAATTCCATAAACATACTTTTTCAGTGGAAAAGTATCAAGCAAGTGGCCAAGTTTCTCCCTTCCAAACTTTCAGTTCTATCAAAGCCATGTTTTCTTTAGAATACTTGTGGGAAAGAAGTACATGAATAAATAAATGAAGGATGAAAATATTGTGCCTATTGACAGATGTTCAAAGAAAAGATTAAGGTACCGTCACTGAATTATAGATCACTTGACAACAACTTAATGAAAGAGTGACTTTATTTGTCATGGTTCAAAGAATTATATCATTAATAGCAACTCTTACTTGAGGCATGGGATACTGTCCTTTGTTACTCCTTCGCTAGCCACAGTGTTAGTGCTCCCGGAAAGACTCCTTGAAGAAGGAAGCTGGGATGAGAGATCTGGAAACGGAGGACTTGTTTCTGGTTCAGGGGTAATAATATCTTCAACATCATACTGAAGTCGTACCTCTAATGACTTAAAAAATCAAGTTTTAATTTAATCTAAGTCATAATAATAATCACATAAAAATATCTACTAACTTTTAGAAATTATTATTATTTCAAATTAGTAAATTTGATTTCAATTTATACTAAAGTTGAGAAGTATCCTAAATTGAATTAAGTAGGGAATTATATGACTATTCAATGGCAATCACAAAAACAGAAAATTATAAAAATTCTTTGGAATTATAAGACAAATTATATAAAAATTATATATATACCAGTGGATATAGAGATTTTTAGATTATATATGTTCTTTAAGATAAAGTAACGGTTATAATTTGTGATAAAATAAAATGAGAAATTGGTTATGGTTATTCCAGTGAAAGAAATTAAACTGGATCTATGTGGTTATGTGTGTGTAGAATGGCATAGAATCTGTTGTTGTGTATTAAAAAAAAAAAAGACATTGTTTGTACAATGCTTTTTTTAGGTTAAGATTTTTTCATTGCATTTTTCCTCTGTATTAATTCAGTAGAAATTTTCCAAAAAATATTATACAGTTTGGTTGATTATCTTATCTTTTGTTTAATCTCATCAGGTTGGTCAAAATTACTTAATAAAAAAATAATTTTTATGTAGTAATAAAAGTTGATCCCCAAAATCCTAAACTAAAAATGTTTTAAAACTACATTCTTCATGACTATATTAAATGCTTTTTTTTTAAATTAAATCACAGCTGTGTACATTAATGCAGTCATGGGGTACAGTGTGCTGTTTTTATATAGAATTTGAAATATTTTCATCAAACTGGTTAACATATATTAAAAGCTTTAAGTAAAATTGATCTTAGAAAAAAATTTGCTTTATAATGTAAAAATGAGCATTTTTGAGATTGAAAACAATTGCTTCCAAAAAATGTCATTATACGGTGGTGAATATAGCAATATTACCAAAATTATTTTCATCATCATCTTAAAACTACAAAAAGAACTCTAGTGGTAACAATACAATTACCAATTACTGATTCATTGTGATAATGTCTTTATATAATCATCATAAGAATGCTATAAAATTGGCATTAGTATTTCCTGATTATTTTTACTTTCCGTTTTTCATTTTTTTTTGTTTGTTTACATGAGAATTTACATGGGTGATGAAGCTGTATCCTAACCAGACTCTGCTACTAAGTAGTAGACTTGTGACTTGCTCAAAGTCACACAGGTATCCAGTGGGAAAGCAAAAATAAAAATCTAAGTTTATCTGACTTCAAAGCCTCAGCTTTTAACTAATGCACTATAAAAGAGAGATGTTAATTTTAGCCATTGAAGTAATAAAACTTATACAAAGCCCTGTAGTAAATAATTTTTACCTTCTGAACAGGGTAGGAAAGTTATCTATAGATGCTTTAATTTAACCCATAAGAGCACCATTATTTTAAATGGAGTATTTCATTGATTTAAAAATTAAGACTAGATACAGTTGTGCCATAATTATTTCTCTCCTATTAAAAAAGTTACTAGATAGAAAATCATTAAAAATAACCATATTGTAGTTGATAATCATTTATAGTAGTTGACAAGAAAACAAATCAAGTAAATTTCTTAAAATTAAGAATAGATAAAGCCTTCATTAATTTGACTTAACATACACAAATTAATAAATGTCTTCCTAAAATCTATAAATTTAATAGATAGTCCACAACATATACATATTTCAAACATCATATCATACATGATAAATACACACAATTTTTGTCAAGAAATGCAAATAAATTTTAAAGATAATACTAAAGTTCTAGTATTGGTAATAAGCAAACAAAAGAAATTGACTCATTTGGCCAGGTAGATCCAACTTGTATAATATAAAAAAAAATGAGAAAAATATGACATATTTAATTTGTAGCAAGATTAACTTAAAATACTAAGTACATTTTTGACATTAGAAAACAAGCTTAAGTTTTTTTATAAAGAATTGTTTTTGGCCCTTTTAGCCAAATTATTTTTTAATCTGTTATATTAGGTAACAATAGCAATTAAAAAGCCTACAAATTGTATTACTGGCTGCATGCTATACACGTGATGCCTAAAAATCATACCAAGTAATAATACAAATCTATGAAAATCATTTCATTTTAAAAACTTTTAGATTGAAAGTTAAATTTTCAATAACTTACCACTATTTCTGTTGTAATTTCATGTCTGCTGAACTTATAAATTATAACATATGCTGATACTCCTGATACACAGAATATTCTGCTTTCTGGACACCAGTAAATCATCTGAATGGCAAATGGATCTTCTTCTACAATTTCACATGTTTGTTTTCCTTCTCCTACCTTCTGCTTTTCAAACACTTTTGATGTTTTCAGCTTGTATAGCATCTGCAGAGTTACTATAAGATATTAAAGCATACTTATCATCTAATATAAACTTAATTTTTAGATGTTGTTTAAGCTTTTCAATATGTTTGTGAAACTACAAAAGCAAAACTCAAGTAGAGAAAATGAATCATATTTTAACTAGTATTTGGTATCATTCTCTAATGCCAGTACAGTAGCAAGGGGAGACTATAGAGAAAAAAATAAACATTTATTGAATATATACTATATGTCATGGAATATATAGGAGCTTTCTCATGTGATCCTCAGAAAAGTCCCATGAAGTGGTATTTTTATCAATGTTTATTGGTTAAAAACAATTGATAAAAAAGTTAGAAAGTTCACACTGGAAATACTGGAAGTTATTTTTTTCTAAGGGATATTTCTTAATTAAAAAAAAAAATTTCCCTTTGATTACTAGATGAGAGGGTTATGCTATGCCCAGAGGGTTTACTTTTCTCAGTAAATTTTTTAGGCACTCCTTCAGACGAGAAACATTCTAACTTGCCAGTTTGTAATACTGGGAATCCAATAATCTATATTTATATTAGTTTTTTTTTTTTTTTAACAGTTTTTGGCTGGGACTGGGTCTGAACCTGCCACCTCTGGCATATAGGGCCAGCGCTCTACTTCTTTGAGCCACAGGCACTGCCTGGTATTTATATTAGAAGGGATATTTCCTGACTGTCTCTGTGTTAAGAAAGAGATAATCTCATAAAATTTGGTTTGTGAGATGTATTCAAGTATATTTAGGGGCATGCTTTTCCATTTGAGATCATGATAATAACTCCCCTATAAAAAAAGCTTTGATTCTATAAAAGATCCTTTAGCAAAGTTTTAGAAATCCAGAGTCCTGCCAAAAAGTACATAATCTGATTCTAATCATGGGAAACATTGGTCAAACCCAGACTGAAGGAGATTCTAACAAAATAACTGGCCTGAACTTTGCAACAATGTCAATGTAATGAAATAAAGATTCGGGAATTATTCCAGATTTTTAAAAACTCAAAAGGATATGATGACTAACTTCAACAAATGATTCTAGATTTTCTTTTGTTATAAATGACGTTACTGGGACAATTAGAGAACACTGAATGCTGAATAAGATCTGGAGTTTAGATAACAGCATTGAATCACTGTTAATCTCCTGGTTTTGACAACTGCACTTCAGCTATGTAAGAGAATGCCCTTATTTGTTGGAATAGCACGTTATATATTTAGGGGTATGTAGTGTTAGAAGAGCATAGTCTACAACTTTATTCTCAAAAAGGCTATATGTATATATGTACATATGTGAAAATGAATACCTGGAAGGGAGAAAGAAAGAGGAAGAGGAAGGAAAAAACAGAGGAGGAGGAAAGGGAAGAGAGATAGAAGGAGAAGAAAGGGAACAAAAGTAGTATATATTGAAATTTAGGGAATTTGTCAGATAGGTGTTCATTTCATAGTTATAGTCCCACTTTTGCAATTTTTTATAAGGATGGAATTATGTCAAACCAAAACAATGTTAAAATAGGTAAGGCATTATGTTAGGTGCTATAGCTTGTAAGTATTATATTAGGTGCTAAGACCAGAGGGGTATCACTCCCATGACCCATGATTATTATTATTGCATAACCATGGTCAAATGATACTGCAGAGGTAAGTAAGGCCCCAAATTAGTTGACTTTGAGTTAATCACAAAGGGATTATTTTTTATGAACCTGACCTAATCAGGTGAATCCTTTTAAAAAAAGGGACTGGGGGCCCTCTCTGAAGTAAAGAGACACTCTTTCTTGATGGGCAATGAAGCAGCAAACCACCATGAATTCTAAATATGCAAGAAAATGAAGCCTTCCAACAATCACATGAGCCTGGAAGAGAACCTTGAAAGTCAGATGAACTATAGCCTCAGTCAACACTTTGACTACAATTCTGTGAGACCTCAAGCAAAGGACCTAGTTAAAGTATAATCAAATTCCTGATAAATAGAAACTGTGAGACAATAAATCATTGTTGTTTTAAGCTGTTAAACTGTGGTAACTTATTACTTAACAATAGAAAACTAAAACACAGTAATATAAACTCAATTATTCAAACTTAGCTCATTTCCTGTATTGAACAGTGTTTCACAAAATTAGCAAATCAATTTTTTGTGACATCCATTAAGTTGGACATATGCCCTTAAAATTGATTATAGTATAAAATATGGAACTTGTTGTAATTCACTGCAATATTCCAAATGTGACAAAATATTTTCTTTAAAATTAATTTCTTAAAATATTATGCATGCATAAGGGTGATATATACTCTAGTGTCTATTAGTATCAAAGTGCCCTGTCATATTTTAAAAGCTAAAGTTTGACTTTGAGGTGTGGGAAAGTAGCAGTGAGATCATTGCACAATTGATTTTGTCCAGGAACAGACTCACATTTACATGAAAAGACTCTTCAATTTGACATGAATATATTGCCTTTGGAGTTTCCCTTTAAGCACTTCCTTTTTACTGTGTGAGGTCAGAAAGGAGCCTCAGAACTCTCTTACTCTTTTCCTCTTGTTGATGGCTTGCTTAATTACCAAAGGATTCTACCTTGTGAGCTATGAGCATTATCAGTATTTAACCTTCCTCTGATTTTCTGTGTATTATAGTCTCCCTTACAAGCTATTCACTTCTATAGCTTCAGATATTACTTTTATGCTGCTCTTCATGAGTTTCCATTCCTAACTGTTCTCCTCAACTGGTGGACATTTTATTTGAATTTTCAGATGCTACTACAAAATTCAAATTTCCAGGAAAGTGAAAATTAGAGGGTAAAAGCACTTGACCAAAACCATCCGGGTAAGTTTGGTACTTTTCCCAATGTACCATGCCTCTTAAGATTTAATGGGTTACTAAAAAAGAGTGACTTGGTCTAGTTTGTTTTATATCATAGAAGAAAAGTACAGATAATACTTTAAATTCATCTAACAATGTTAGAAATAGTTTTTGTAATACAGTTATATATGCATGCTGAAAATATATGTGAAATGTTAATTGCCCAAACTAAAACATGGTGGACAGCTACAACTAAATACAGTGGTTTCTGTTATACAGGGAGAAATCTGAAACTTACTTGCAGAAGCATCCCAAAATTTTATTGATCCATCTGCATGACTAGATAAGAAATAAGTCAGCATTAATTAAAGTATACTAAATTTAAAAAAATCATAATCATTCCAACTGTATAAAACTTGAGTAACTTGTTAAAATTTTGATTAAAAAATACCATTCTAATAAAAACAAATGTATGATGAACCATTTCTAAATTTAAAACACCATTTATTTTTTAAACACTACAATAAAATTTAAATATTAGAAAAAGAATAATTCCTTAGATTTATGGCAAGAGGATTATATGTATAGCAGAAAGCAACGAAAATTGGTCTATGGAAAATGAATAATATAAAAATAAAATAAAATAAAGTTTAAAAAAAGAAAATAAATAATATATATTTTTAAGTAAAATTACTTTCATTGAAAAAAGATAACTAAGGTAGTTCTAATATTAATATAAACATGAAATAATTATCATAGTAAGATTAACGTTAAGTTTAAAGATATAAAAGCAAATCCCTAAACCTATCTAGTTTTATCATTATTTGGTAATAAATAATCTAATGTCAATTCTATAAAAACTCATCTAGAAAACAGACGAGGATAGCCCACTCAACACATTTGAAGAGGTCAATAATATCCTGACACAAAACCAGAAAAAAAGTGACAGGAAAAGAAAATTACAAATCAATACCTCTCACAAGAAAAGGCATAAAAATTGTCAACAAAATATTAGCAAAGAAAACCAAGTAATATATAGAAAGGATAATACCTGATGACTAAGAGGGATCTGTGCAGGAATAGTAGCCAATTAAACATTTAAAAAAATCATCCACCATACTGTAATTCACCATACTGATCCTGGTGCTTTATTGGTTTTCATCCATGATTCCTATGGAGTTTCATAACTCCCAAAGTCCTTCCTATAATGTTGGGGCACGTTAGCCCTCTGAAACAGGCTTCAGAAGATAGAATCTCTCTTTATTATTTTCCTGTCCTCTTTTCACCTGCCAACGGGAGGACCCTAAGCAGATGATAGATCAAAAGACTCACTTTTCCTGGCTGCTACACACAGAGGCCAGGAAAAATCTAGACAGACAAGATTGCTGGGTTTAGACCATTTACTTTTTGTCCAACTACATTTCTACATGGTTGCCAAGGGCTTGAAGAGCTTCTAGACAGATAGTCAAATACAAGGAGTACAAGGTGTGCTGAGAGAGGGCATGAAAGCTCTGTGCCCTTTCTCCCATACCCTTCACTATGCATCTCTTCATCTCTATCTTTGTAATATTCACTATGATAAGCTGGTAAATGCAAGTATTTCCCTGAGTTCTGCAAGCTGATCCAGAAAATTAATCAAACTCAGAGAGGAAGGAGGTCATGGGAACCCCCAAATTGAAGTCAGTGGGTCAGAAGCTTCAGAGACTCTGATTTGCAACAGGCATCTGGGGGAGGGGAAAGACACCTTAGGATCTGACCCAATTTGGGGACAGATAGTGTCTAAATTGAATTAGAGGACATGCAGCTCATGTTTGTTGCTTGGTGTGTGAAGAAAACCCTATTTGTCACAGAAGTCCTTTTCTGAGTTGATTTTTGTGGCATTTAGAGGAGAGCATAGTTTGAAGAGTATTTTTTCCCAAACTGGCAGATTAAAAAAGAAAAGCCATCTCAATAGATGTAAAAAAGCATTTGACAAAAATTTATCATCCATTCAGAAAAAAAAAAAAAACCTCTTAATAAACTAGCAACAGAAGAAATGTTTTTGTTTTTTTTTTTTTAACTGATAAAGGGCATCTGGGAACAACCTACAGATATCACCTAACATATATAATAGTGAAACATTGAATGTTTTCCCCCTATGATCAGAAACAAAGCAAAAAATGTCCCCTTTCATCATTTTATTGGTGGTGTTAACCAAATTGCACTAAAGAAGAAAAAGAAAAAAAAGGCACACAAACTGAAAAGTAAGAAATAAAATTGTTTCTATTTGCAGATTACATAACTGGCTATGTAGAAAATCCCAAAGACTCTACAAAAAGGATAGAGGAACTCATAAAAGAGTTTAGCAAGATTATAACATACAATGTCTATGTATAATACAATAATATTTCTACATAACACAGATAAACATTTTGAAAGTATGGGCTCGGTGCCTGTGGCTCAAGCGGCTAAGGTGTCAGCCACATACACCTGAGCTGGCGGGTTCGAATCCAGCCTGGGACCACCAAACAACAATGATGGCTGCAACCAAAAAATAGCCAGGTGTTGTGGTGGGCGCCTGTAATCCCAGCTACTTGGGGAGGCAGAGGCAGGAGACTTGCTTGAGCCCAGGAGTTGGAGGTTGCTGTGAGCTGTAATGCCACGGCACTCTACCCAGGGGGACAGCTTGAGGTTCTGTCTCAAAAAAAAAGAAAGAAAGTATGGAACAGTGCCATTTACAATAATACTCAAAAGAAATACTCAGATATAAACAAACAAAATCTATGCTAGATCTGTAAGATGAAAATTATGTTGACTAAAAAATAAAAGGTCTTAATAAAAAGAGAGATATAATGTATTCAGGATAATTGTATGCCTTACTAGATGTTGGTTTCCTCAAGTAACGTGTAGACTCAATGTAATTGCAATTAAAGTACTACAAAATTATTTCTGTAGAAATAAACTGATTCTAAAATTTATATAGAAAGGTAAAGGAACAATAATAGCCAAGGCAATTTTGAAAAATAAAAACAAAGGTGGAAGACTCAAACTATGTAAGTCTTTTCCCAGAGCTTTAGTAAAGTGCTACTGGTGAAAAACAGACACGTATCAGTGAAACATAGTAGAGTACAGATATAGACTCACATTTATATGGTCAACTGATTTTTTGAGAGTGGGGTAGTTACTGATTGAGTGGCTCACTTTACTTTTTTAAGAGTTTCACTGAGATATAATTTACATACTATAAAACTGACCCATTATAAGTTACAATTTAATAATTTTTAGTAAGTTTATAGTTGTTACACTGACAATATCATCTGGTTTTATAATATTTCCATCATCCCAAAAAGATACCTTATGCCAATATGCAACCCTCTTTCCATTCTTCAGTAGATCCCTACTGATGTACTTTCTACCTGTATAGATTCACTATTTTCTCAGAATTTTTATGTAAGTAGAACCTGAGTAATATCTACTCTCGTATCTGCATTCTCACTTATCATAATGATTTTGATGATATCACTTAATTTGTTATCCATATATCAGTAATTTGTTCCTTTTTATTGCTGAATAGCATTCCACTGTTTGAATATACCCCATTTACTCATTAACTAGTTGATGAACATTTACAGTTTTTTTTTAGTTTTTGGCTGTAAGAATAACTTTGTAATTACACATTCATAGATGCTTTAGAAACTTGATTATTGAAAATCCAGTAAGATGTTGGTCTGAGATTCTATATACTCTAACAATATTTAATTATATTGTATTTTTTATCATGTAATATTTGATATGAAAAGAATAATGTATGTAACATCAATTTTATGTACAGGATATAACCACTCAAGAAAAGAACATTACTATTGTGACTTGCATCTATAAATATGTTCTTATTGATTCCATCTTCCTTCCTCCTTTGTTGTCAGAAGTAACTACTACCCTAAATTTTTTTTATCATCCTATTGCTTTTAATATTATGACATTGTGTATTGTGTGATTATACCACAACTTAGATCTTCTTTGGTCATTGGGCAATATGGTTGTGTCTTTTCCTTTCCTTTCCTTTTCTTTTGCTATTACAAATAATGCAGCTATGGAGAACTTGAAAAAGACTTTTTGTTATTTATTATGTCCTATGTGTAAGACTAGAATTGGTAGGTCATAGGATATGAAATATTCAAATTGACAAGATAATTCCAAACTATTCCAAAATTTATAAATTTATATTCCCAACAGGGAATAAGACAGTGGATAAGAGACATCTCTTTACCGGACTTACCTCATGGTAAGTCAGGGGAGAGTGGACTCCAGCTACCTCTGGCTGAGGGTTCCTACCAGAAACAACATTCCCAAAGTGAAGCAGTAAGAGATTCCAGGGACAAACCAGGAATTCTGGAGCTGAGAAAGACCAGCATAGAAGGCAAATGCATGGGAATGGGCAGAGGCCAGTGGGCTAGACCTCCCTCAGATGATTAGAGACAGAAAAGGGCTGTCCTGCGGATTTTTGGTTTTGGAATGAGTTGTTCGTGGGAGTTACCTTGGAAATGAGATTATGTGAATGAGTAATTTCAAACAGTATCAAGTGCCTGGGCTTGAATACTGGTGGCTCTCCCATTAGCTTGGCTACTAGCAGGATGCCACCATTGTGGGAAGGCTGCCTTGTAAGAAGCAGTCCTCAGGGTCCCAGTGTGCAGCTGACTCTGGTGTACCTCCTGAATTTGGGCAACAACCCTTGGGGTGAGCTGAACAGCCCCTGTACCACCAGGAAGGCCACTTTGTTGTCAGGGGATATTATTTGATGTGCCTTCTAAGAAATATGGAGAGCTTTAAGACCCCAATTAAGTGGGGATTGAATACTGACAAAACAACCAGGCCCTGATTGAGGGCAAAAAAGTCAGAAAAACAGGGCTGGGTCTCCTTGGTAACTAGAGAGTAGCTTCTGGCCCCCACAATATACAGCAAAACTAGCATGTGTGTTCTCTGTCTCCTAATAACACAGTGCCACTGTGTATACATACATACATGCACACACATACACCCACACATACATACAGCATGAACACATTCATAATTTTGTTTGCTCTTTTCTCAAATGTTTTCCTTATTTTCTTTTTCTTTTTTGCTGTTGTTATTGTTGTTATTTTCTTGTTTTGTTTATTTGTATTTTTATTTTTTTCATATTTACTTTCTTCAATAGCAAGAACCTCTCCATTTTTATTATGATTTTTCAGCCCCTTTTATTCTTTCTATTTTAAAATTCCTCTCATTTTTTCTATTGGTAGACTACTTTTCTCATCTTTTCCACACAAATTTCTCACCAGAATTCTATCAAACCTTCAAAGAAGAATTTGTACCTATAC